CCGTTATGATTATTCAAACTGTTGAGCTTTTTTGGATGAGGTAGGCCAATATTGTCCATTTCATATTTGATATAAGTGTGATATAAATATTAGGACTATATCGACTACTTCATTCACTTTATATGAAATATGCCATAATTTTTGGAAAATGTAGGTAAAACAGTTAAAACTGATAAAAATATTGGGATATGCAATGTATTCTACTTCATCTAATATTGATATAAATATTGGGATCTGAAATATTAAACAAATTTATTTCATTTATTTTCAATATATGTCGTTAACCTTTGTGGGAAACGTACCTGGTTGAGAGAAATTTTTAGATGTACCAAGTTTGGAGTGGACCGATATATATCATCTTTACACAAAATCTCGCTTTTGTAAAACCATTAGTATATGTAAATTTTAAAGAGAATCGGAAGCTTATTTCGCATTTTATGACCGTTTTGTTATTCCAAGATTTTACCACTTTGGGGGGGAGGTATTAGAAGGAGTGGTCCGATATATTCCACCTTTACAGCAGACTTTGTGTTAGTAGAAATATTGATATGTGTGAAATTTGAGGAAAATCGGATGTTCATTTCGCAATTTATGAGCGTTTTGGTTATTTAAAAATTTTGATCCAGAAGGAGTGGTCCGATATATTCCATCTTCACACCAGATCTTGTGTTAATAGAAATATTTGGATGTGCCGGGTTAGAACCGTTTGCTCATTCCGCGTTTTATGATCGTTTTGTATATTCAAAATGTTGACCATTTGTGGTGTAGGTAACAGAAGGAGTGGTCCGATATATAACATATTCATACCAGACCTTTTGTTATAAGAAACATTGGGATTTGCCAAATTTTTACACTGAATCGGACATGCGTTTCACATCTTATAATAGTAATAATTATTCAAAATTTTTACCCCTTTTGTGGGGGAGGTACTTTATGAAGTGGACCAATAATGCAATTTTCACACCTGACCTATCAATGATACTAATATTTGGATTTGCAAAGTTGAAGCAAAATCGGATGATCCTTGCTTGTTATATGTTGGCCCAAATCTTTTGTGATTCAAAGAGAAACCTGGAAGAATGATATGATACCCAAATCTATGATGAAAAAGCTCTATTTGATCCATACAAATATTTTTTACGATATAAATTCCTAAGGATCCAAAAAAATATTCTTTCAAACATCGGTGAAAACAAAAACCCTATTCATAAACCATATCTACGATAAACAAGTATAAAAGCAGTTAAGTTCGGCCGGACCAAACTTCCACCATATGGAAGAAACTTGAAAATTTAAAAAAAAATGCGTCAAAAAATACCGCTCAAATGATAACCGTTATCTGGGAGCTATACGAAGACGTGGTCCTGTATAAGTAATTTTTGTCATAGGCTGTAGTAACGGTTCCGAACTTCTAATACGAAATTTGAAACAATTCCGGTGTATAATGTCGCAATAATCATGAAAATAGCGAATATATTGGGGTACCGTTATACTAAAACGTAAATATATATAGAGAATCCCCTGCTAGGGGTAAAGTACTCAGAAGGAACACCTTGTATGGATTTTAAGACAATTCCATACAAAAATTTGGATGAAATCATCAAAATACCGAATATCGAGTGTACCGATATATGGATGCTATAGGATATCTTGGACTTATATAGACAATTCTTTTCTAGGAAATAAAATAAAATGCTCACCAGGAACTCCTTGTGTGGATTTTCAGACAATTCCGTTAAAAATATTGCTAAAATCATCAAAATACCGAATATAGGGAGAAATCTACGACAATAAAAAAAATCTATGTTATTTGAATTAAAGAGATCCTGTAATTTAAAAAAATCAACTTATTTCTTTTTTAAAATTAAGGAGGTCTAAAAAAAATCCACATTAATTGGCCTTAGAGGGATCATTTTTTTTTCTTTTTTGGTCCACGATATTTAACCTTATGGTATTTAGTATATACACTGGTGGCCAAAACTAAAGCAACTGAAATTACAAGGAGAATAAATGCCCTGTAACTTTTTGTAAAATTAAGAAAATGAGAAAGGTTTTCTAGTTCTAAATTATGCACTTTATTCACTTTTTAAAAACTTAAAACAAAAAATCAAAATTAATTTTTATATAAAAAATAATGTATGGTAAAGTCAATTAAACCGATTTGGTGTGGACAAAACTAAAGCAACTCTGTTGTACATTCATATGATCGCTGCAATCTCTGTTTTTTTACTGTTATATTTATCGCTTTTGGCTTCCTTCAACAATTTTGCTTGTCATGGATCATTTTTAAGAAGTTTTTTTACAACGACACGTGTTTGTTTCCGTTTTTTAAGTACTGCCCAAAAAAGTTAAAAAATGGCTAGATGCAAATACAGTACTTTAATAAAACAGCAAATTATCAGTGACTATGAAAACAAGCTATCGCAAAAAATTATATCCGAGAAATATTTCATAAATATTTCTGTGATTTCTCGTATACTAAGTCGGTTTTATGATACTGGATCAGTAGTAACTGTCTATAACTGATGAAGGCCGTGAAAAACCTGAGCACGTACTGATCAACAAACTTAAGAGTTCAACTGAATTGGTGAGAGAGCTATCATTGAATATAAGCTCGAGATCAGTGCGTAGAAGAGTAGTGGCAGCTTGTCTGCATGCCCGTAAGCCATCAAAAAAGCCATTTATATCTTAAAAAATCGGGAAGCCAGAATGGCTTTCGGAAACGATAATATTAATTGGAATCCAGCTCAATGGAAAAACGTTTTATTCTGGGATGAGTCTACGTTTAATATTAAAGGCTCATATATGAAAAATTTTACGGTGAGAAGACCAAAAAAATTAAAGACTCAAGCCTCAGTGTTGCAAGGGTACAGTGAAGCATGAGGGAGGGTTAAAAATGGTGTGGCGCTGTTTTTCTTTCTATGGACTTGGGCCTATCCATGAAATAAAGGAAGTTATGGATCGGTTTGTTTACAAAAATGTGTTGAACATCAAGGTTGTTCCCTTCCGCTGAAGAAAATATTCGGCTTATTTGGGTGTTTCAGCGTGACAATGATCCCAAACATGCATCAAAACTTCTCAAAGATTGGTTGCGGGAGTCAAAAATCGTTGTTTTGTCATGGACGGCACAATCATCTGACCTAAACCCCATAGAAAACCTTTGGAGTATCGTAGACAGGAAGATCAAGCGAGATTCGGAAAAAAATAAGCACAACATTTTTCAAAGAATTCAGGGTGCCTGGAAAAGCATACCCAGGGATCAAATTGAACGTGTTATAGATTCAATGCCTCGTAGGCGTGCAGCTGCTATCGACTACTAGCCAAAATTTAATTATTTTAAAATAAAAAATCAAAAAGTTGCTTTAGTTTTGACCAAGCAAAAATTGGGTCATTTTAATTTTCCGTATATTATTATTCATTCAATATTATTTTTGTATTCTTATTTTTAGTCTTTTAAAAGTGAATTGAACACCTCATTTAAAACTGGAAAAATAGTTACGATTTGTTTATTTTTGTAAAAGTTACAGTGCATTTATTGTCTTTGCGATTTTAGTTGCTTTAGTTTTGGCCACCAGTGTATATTTATATTAGGCCTTAGGATATCTTCTAGAAACACCACACGACTAATTAAAGTCGTAAAGAATCACTAAGCAAATCGGACCACAAAAAAAAACGGTAAAAAATCGACATTGAGGTCCTATACGATTTTTTTGAATTAATAAAATAGATTTTTAATGTTAAGAGTAATTACAATTTGTATGCGGTTCTCATTTTCGAGTTTCATATCGGGTAAAACGTATTACTTTAAATTTCAAATCTTTAAAAATGATTTATTCTCAAATGAAATTAAAATAATTTACTTTACAGTTTGTCATTTCTACAATGATATGCCATTGCTTCACGATAGTCTTGCTTATAGACATAATGCCCATATGGCATGGAATTCATCTGACGAAATCCAACAACAACACCAATACCAAATGAAAAAATCCACGCATGTTGTCGTACTCGCCCAACAAACAACAAAAATAGTTTTACTCCATCATTTTCTCGATGAAATGGGCATAGGTGGTCATCATGTTGTCCATCCCGCTGTTCGAAAAGCCCCACCATCGTCACTTTATGTTCCACCACCTGTAGCCATACACAAGAATTACCAAAGCAATAATCGAAATCATCACGAGATCAATTCGAATAGTTGTCATAACTATGGTTGTAATCTGTAAAAAAAAATCCAAAAAAACATAAGTAGTTCCATTCCATTTGCTTTGCGATTCTTGCAAAGCATTGTGGGATTTTGGAAATCCGTTCGAAATTTGTGTGTGGAAAATGAAACTAGCTGTTGCTAATATGAATATCGGCATCTTAGACAAACAGAACGAAAATCGATAAGCAATATTAAACGTTGTTATTTGTATCGTAATATATAATAATATGTTAAATTTCCCCAAATTCTACATCATTTTTATATGCATAATTGTTTTATATTCAAAATTTAACGCCATGTTAAGTCCCTATGACCCAAGCCATTTTTTTCATAAACCAATTTTATATTACAAATGTAAATATTTTTTATTAAGCACTTTTCTTTCTCAACTTTTACCTCTTTGTCTTTCTTCCCTTTAATTTCATTATTCTCCTCCTTTTTTGTGTATCCCATTTTTTCATTAACCTTATGCATACATATATACACCAAATTCAATCTTCCCATCTTTTCAACTTAAAACCCCCCAAAAACAACCTATTCACAGCACTTGCTTACATAAAATTGGAAGAATATGATGAACCATAAATAAAATTATAGAATTTCCACAAAACGGTGTTCATTTTAAGGTAAGCTATTGATATTTTACGGTAGTTAAACCATGCACGCAATAACGTAGTTAGAATATAATCATAAATATTAAAATAAAAAATCGTTAAATTAACTAAATTTTAACTATTATTACTTCCAGATTAATAACGGCCATATGTTTGATTTTTTCATTGTTTCTTTACAGCCATTGAATATATACTCTCCAATTATCTCATAAAGCAATGTAATAGTGTTGAGAGCCTGGACAAGGATCCAAATAAACTTAAAAATAATCACATAAGTGTAATTGATAATATAAAAGTATAATTAGAACCAAAAACCATTTTCGTAAATTTTATTATGTATTTGCAAAATGAAGAAAAAAGAAAGTATTAATAAATATAATTTAAAATAATTATGAGAAGTATTTTACTTACCTTATCTGTGTGTGGAAATATCCGTTTTTTGAGTTTCTTGAAATATTTAATCAAAGCTCCATAAATTTTGAAAACTTCACGATATAAAATGCCCAACGCCTAAAAGGTTCCAATAAAATATCTTTTAAAAATCCACAATTTTAAATGCAAAAAATAAATAAAAAATAAAAATAAAAAATCTTTAACATACTCTAGATATGTAAATCCTAGGCCAAAATTCTTGCATTCAATCCGGAAAAATCTCGATTGAAATGATCTTCTGCACACTTATTTTAGATTGAAAAAAAAAATTGCTAAAAACAACTTGCTTTCAACTCAAACATCCAACATTTAGTCGTTTCTACTAAAATTTTCAATGAAATCGAGCTAAAATGTCATATCGACACGTCGAAATAAACTTTTTTGATATCGAACGAGAGAATTTGGTCCTTGAAGGGGTTTATAAAAATATTTAAAATATTCACAAAATAAAGGGTACATAATAAATCCCGTAACATTTTCGAATTATTTTAAATATTTAAAGATATCCACAAAAACTCTTCAAAAAATCCACAATATTGTACCCAGTGAGGTCCATGACGACTCTTAAAAAAATCACGAAATGAGTTTAAACTGCTCACAGGTTTTGGAAACGCTACCAATGCATCCAGAACTAGTAAGGAAAGTCTAAAAGTAGGTGGGTCCGACTTTATGATACCCTACACCGCTTTGCATATTTAGTAGAGCTTTATATAAAATATAAAAAAATATAAAATACAGGGTGAGATGAAAAAAACTGCAAACTGTCATGACTGCTGTCATTTCTAAGACAGCTGTTAAAATTATTCCAGTGACAGTTTATTATATTGTTTACAAGCGTACAAAATCATTTTGGTGAGAATTTTCCAGAAAAAAAGTTATTCGTGATGGAATACAAGCGTGATTTCTTTATATTTGGCTGGAAAACCACAAGTGGCTATAGTTAGAGCACTCCAGCATATAAATGTGAATAAATCTTTTGTGTCTCTTACAGCAGAATTGGTTCGAAAATTAAAGAAGCGACTTGATCGAAACCCGTCAAGAGGTCAGCTGAATATGTGCACCTTTGGTTGGCCTCAATAACAGCCGATGTTCGCACTCCGCTCGTATTAATCGACCGTGGCATCAGAATAGATGCCGAATATTATCGCGAACATATTCTGGAGGGTGTGTTAAAGCCTTGGCACGCAAGTATTTAGGCCGCAGACCTTGGAAATGCCAACAGACTCAGCACGCGCCACCGAAGAATGGATCCAAATGTTCGCTTCATTTCCAGCGCACAATGGCCACCGAAATCTCCGGATACCAATCCGTTGGACTATTGTGTCTGGAGTATTTTTGAAAGCAAGGTTGGCACTAAAAAATACTCAAGTGTCGGTCACCTCAAACAAGCACTTCGCCGGGAATGGGCTAAAGTACCGCAGAGCAACATTCGGGCAGCGTGTGACGGTTTTATCTAAAATCTAAACTTTTCCTAAAATTTGAAGCTATTTCAATAAAATTTCATTCAATAAAATTTAAAAAAAAAATGTAAAAAATTATTGTTTTTTTTTTTCATTTTTAACAAATCGGATGAAAAATATGTATGGTTGCTATAGCTATATCTGAAGCGGTTTCCACCAAATTTGACATACTTGTTTCTAAGGTCAATTTGCTAGTAAGTGCCAAATTTCATCCCATTTGGCCAAATATTACACGTAAAAGGCAAATCGCGCGAAGACATATATGGGAGCCATGTCCTAATCTAAACCGAACTCGATAAAAATTGGGAAAGGCATTTCTGTGCTGTATTTGATATATTTCCTCAAATATCGTCGTAACAGAGTGCATATTACGGCTGCGGAGTACAAACATATCAAATCGGATGAACAATGTTTATGGGAGCTATAGCTATATCTGAATTGATTTCTACCAAATTCGGCATACTTATTTCCATGCATAATTTGGTCGTATATCCACAATTTCATACAATTTGGCCTAATATAGAACGTTTGGTGCACAATAAAAGGCAAATCGGTCGAAGATATATATGGGAGCTATATCTAAATTTTTACCAATTATCTTCAATTTCAATAGGTTTCGTCCTTGGGTCAAACAAACGACTTGTGTAAAATTTCATCAGCTCTATCTAAATGTTGACCGATTATCTCCTATTTCAATAGAGTTCGTCCTTGGGTCAAACAAATGACTTGTGTAAAATTTCATCAGGATTAGGCAATAAATGCAATCTATACTTTGTTTACAAAAATACATGGACTGACGAAAGGACGGACATGAATAAATCGAATCAGAATGTGATTCTATGCAGATTATCAAAAGGAACTATGGGTCTATATCGTTTCCTTTTGCCTTTTACAAACAAATGCACAAAAACATAATACCCTGACTACCTTGTAGGATATAAAAGGTAACAGTTTAGTGCGGTTTATAGACCAGACTTCTTCAAAAATGCTGCGAATCGTAACACAACTGTGAAAGGTGAGCCTTAGATAATATTTTACATAATGTAAGATCAATTAAAATCTTAAAGAATTCACAAAATATTGCATCCGAAAAAAATGTACACAAAAATGTACATAAGTAATCTGTAATGTTGCTTATATAAATCAATTAAAAAATCCACCATAATAAAATACACAATGTGTTTTTGTTTCTCGGATTTGTTTGTAGGAAAGTTTTGGATTGCATTTTTATTGTTGTTTCTCGTTTTTAAATATTTATTTATTTTTTTGTTAACAAATTTTACTGTTTTTTATTATTTTTAGTTTTAGCTTATGTGTTTAGGTTTTGTTTGATTTTTCACAAATAATAAAAAAATAATACATTAAAAAAACTTAAAACTTCTATTTTTATTACAATTTTTTGTTTTTGTTTTTTTTTTTTTTCATTCTTAAGGGTTAAACCACATTATTATTAATAATAATTGTTATTAGTTCATAGTTCCGTATGTATATATGTGTGTTTTGGGTTTTTCGTGTTCATGATTCCATATTTTTGGGGAGTTTTTTTTTTTTTACTTTTTATAAGACAAAGTTTTAACTTTTGGAATACCTTAAATTTGGTTGCGACAAAGATATTGGCGTTGTATGGTTGTTGTGTTTTCCTTCTTTTTTGTTAATTTTTGTTAAACAATTTGTTGTTGTTATTTTTTATTGTTACTATCAAAATGAGAATTCTCATGGCGATGATGTTGAATTGTTTGTTTATTTTTGTTTTTTTTTTTTTTAATTGTGTAATTTTTGGAAATGTTAATTGTAACTTTTATTCTCTTTTCACTTTATTGTTATTATTATTTTCGCATGTTCCATTTATATATTTATTTCGTTTAATATTACAAAAATTAATACATTAATAAAAAAAACAACTAGACATTGTCCATAAATCATTCTTTGCGTATAAATGTTCTCCCCCTGGTAGGAAAAGAAAAAACGGGAGATAAAAAGATAACATTTATTAGAATTATATAATTCATAAGACAATGAATTAAGAAATGATTACACATTATGTTAGAGTCATATGTAAAGTGAATTTTTCATATGTTATATTTTACATATAGCATACATCAAAACCCAAAAATTAATGCTATATTATATAGCCTATATACTACACATTGTAGTTTTTTTTTCACTTTTTAACTCCCTCTACATATAACTCTAACATCATGTCGAATCCAGCCTTTAATACTCACGTTATGGTCTTCTTTTCTAGGGACTTGTGTTCGGGTCTTGCACGATTGAGGACCTTTAAGAAATCGGAAGTTTTTGCACGCATTCTTGAGTGAATGTAAGCCTTTGAACACTGTGTTGGGGTGGGGAAATGAAAATAGAAGGGATATTAACGAAAGTTTTGAAATGAAAAATTGTATTTTTGTCGAACTTCGAACTTACCTTAATGTGGTAATGCAAATAATCTCGGAACATGTGTATTAAATTAATGGTATTATCTCTAGTTTCCTTATTAGTATGACGTGGAAAGAGCACTGCAATAAATAGAAAAAAAAATAATAACTACTTATTTCATGTTTGTATTTTTTAGAAATAACGATTGGTACATTAAAGAAGTAAAAAAGCTGTAAGTTCGGCCGGACCGAACTTTGAATACCCTTCAGCATTTGGAAAGAATTTGTCAATTTTCAAAAAAATAAAATCTGTTAAAATTTTAAAACTGCCGAATGTAACCTTCATATTATGGTCTAAACGACGACGTGGACCTGCATATTCAAATTTTGTCATATGCCATTACAATATATAAATGCGAAACTTGAAAAAAAAAAAACTCGGTGAATAATGTAGTTAAAATTATCAATATAGGGAGGTACTATTATATGGCGGCTACACAAGAATGTGGACCTGCAAGGACAATTTTTTGCCTTAGGCTGCTGTATCCAATACCAAATTTGAAACAATTCCGATTAATAATATCACTAAAATCATCCAAATACCGAATATCGGGAGGTACCGTTATGTGAGGGCTATACGAAGACGTGGACCTGCACAGACAATTTTCTGTCTTAGGCTGTAGTATACATTAGGAACTTCAAATACCAAATCTGAAACAAATCCGGTGAATAATGTCGCTAAAATCATCAAAAAACTGAATATCGGGAGGTAGCGTTATATGGGGGCTATACGAAGACGTGGACCTGCACAGACAATCTCCTGTCTTAGGCTGTAGTATCCATCATGGTACAATAAAAAGGCTGATTACAATTTTTTTCTAAGTGTGCCCGACTTCTGCCAATTTTGTGTATGTATTTATTGTTTTGAAAAAAAAAACAAATATTGTCAAAATCAATGATTGGAAGAGGAGTAAATTGCGAGACGCGAATTAAAGCTATTCGCCAGTTTTGCCATGGAATTGAAAGATAGGACTATTTAGATTATATTTCTGATGGAAAATCCAGACATTCCATTCATTTTTCCCGCCCTTTAACTGATTTTAAAAATGAGGAGATATTGAATAAAAGAAAACAACTTGTTTGCATGCAAATTTGACAGGAAGCGGACCATAGCCTCAGGGCTGTATTTCTGTAGTTTTACGAAGCTGTTCTACCTCCTTATTGTACCATGGTATCCATTACGAACTTCAAATACCAAATTTGAAACAATTCGGTGAAAAATGTCGCTAATATAGTCAAAATACCGAATATGGGGAGGTACCGTTATATGGGGCCACACCAAAACGTGGGCCTACACGGCCCATTTCTAATACAAAAAGTCCTGCAGACATAATATACATTTGAGTATTTTTTTATCAATCTACTTCATTTCATTCGGAAGCTACAGTAATTTCCACAGACGGACGGACATACCCTCCATACTATGGTAGAGGGTATAAAAAGATTTTTAAAAATATACGATCAGTGATTCTGGAAATATATTTAAAACGTCCAAGTTTGTCCATTATTCCTTAATACATCCACGATTTGTACTTCAAACTTTCCTTAAAAAACACGACTGGTACGACATATTTTCCACAGATCTATGTATTCGTATGGCCCCCATATAACTGCACCTCATTTTTCAACAGTATTATCTCCATTGACAGATAATTGGCTATAGATGTTCACATTTTCGTATAGCCCTTTATAACACCTCATATTCAGATTTTTTTTAATTATTGTGGAATTTTTAACATATTGTTTTTATATTTTGCAAGTTCCTTCCAAATAGTGGAGCGTAATCAAAGTTCGGCCCGAAATTCACCTGCATTTTTACTTGTTAAATTATAATTTTAACTTAATTCCTAGTTTTCCCCTTTCTCAATCTAATTTTTTTCCTTTAGGAGCATTAATTTATATATTTATTTATAAAATTAAAATTGTACAAGACTAGGTCTTCATGTGTTGTTCATCATTATTCTACACATGATTTTTTCAAGTCTCTTTACAAAAAGAATTAGTATTGGAATACAATAGCGATAAGTCCCATGATATAGAAAATATCATACTTTATATTCCATATTCAAAATATCGTACTTAATATTCCAAGTCTACGGAAAAATTCACATATTTTATATGTTTGCCGCATATTTCAATCGGATTGATTAGACATAAATACTATACAATCCACTTTAGCATAGCCAATTTTTTCTGGGAGCAATTGAGAGATAAGTCTTTAGTTATATAAAAATATCCCACTTTTAACTCCCATGATGTTAATCGAAAAGAATTTAAATTTTGAATGTAAGCCATAATAAATAACATTAAATATGTTATATTTAATTACTGTTTAATATCGTTTAACTTGAATAGTTATATTTGAGAAAGACATTTGGAATTAATTCGAGATATCCCACATTTAACTCCAAATAAAACATATCATTCAAAAGCAACAACAAATCATTGTTTGCAAGTGTAAATTGGTTTGACTAGATTTCCATCGATTCCATTTTACTTTGCCGAACTTAATTTAGGAATATTTGAGAGTTAAATCTTTAAATTATAAGAAATAACCCACTTTTAACTCCAATTATTTACCAGAAAGGAAATCAATAATATTTATGAATGTGTGCAGTTTCAAATCACAATCGAATATTTCTTATTTGATTTTTCTTTAGCAATGCATTGATTTTTATTGGAGTATTTGAGAGACACATCTTTCAATATATAAGGAAACATCCCACTTTTAACTCCATTATCTTTTCTAATTCTTAAATAAAATAAACAATTTAAAAATTGTAATCATTTCAATTTTTTCCACATAAACTATGAATTGATTTCCTTTAAAATATATTTTACCAATAAATTTTATTAAGGAGGATCTACATCTTTCTTTCAATAATCAGAAATATCCCACCTTAACTCCAGCTCTTCCATATTTTTAGAATATTGTCGATTTTCGAATTTCTATTTCAATATTAAGCGATTTTGTTCTGTTTTTGCTTGATAAAATGTTCGCTGTCATAAATATAGTTGAATAATTTTTAATATAACAATTCGTACGTTGTTATGACAGCTTAACTTATTATGGGAGTATTTGAGAGACATGTCTTTTAATAAAGAGAAATATCCCACTTTTAGCTCCAGGCATAATTACCATAATTACCATATTCGCTGTTCGCTGTCATAAATATAGTTGAATTTTTTTAATATAACAATTCGTACGTTTTTATGACAGCTTAACTTATTATGGGAGTATTTGAGAGACATGTCCTTTAATTAAAGAAAATATCCCACTTTTAACTCCATACATAATTACCAAAAATTGAATATATAATATTTGTATGTACGCAATTCCAAACACAATGAAATATATGTATTATATTCCAATTGAAATTTTGTTTAGCATGGCATGGATTTCTATTGGAGTATTTGAGAGACATATCTGTGATAAATCAGAAATATCCCACTTTTAACTCCAACCTCTTATTATCTTATGAGAAAAACTGGACATCAAAATTAAGTTATTTTTTACCAAACAAATTTTATACATAATTTTAATGTCTGCAATATTAAACATAATCAAATATGTGCTTATTTAATTGTTGCTTAACATTGCTCAAATTGTTATTGGAGTATTTGAGAGACATATCTTTTGGTGAACCGAAATATCCCACTTTTAACTCCACTTTTTACTTTTACGATTAGAAGAACTATTTCCAAAAAGGAGTAAGGTCGATCATATAATTGAAATCGCTATCTATAAATGTTTGCAATAGTAAACAGAATAAAATATTTTTTTTTTATATTTTAACTAATGTTTATTATTGCATGTGTTTATATTGGAATATTTGAGAGACATTTATGTAAACAACAATCAGAAATGTCCCACTTTTAACTCCATTTGGTTACGATTTCATTGCAAAGAGATTATTTCAAACTTAATTAAATTTGGGCTTAATATAATTTAATATTTGCGTGTATGGGGGACACATACTAAATACATCACTTTTACCAAGTGAATAGAAAGAAGCTTTTCCTGTGCCCGTTAAAAAAGACCAATGCGTCTCAAATGCTAGCCTCCCTAATTAATTCATTTGAATGCCAGTGACATTATTACTAAACATATTAACCCGTAAATAAAGTCCTAAAATAGCACGGGCCGACTTTATGATATCCTACATCCCTTTGCACCAAAAACCTAAAATGGTGAAGACTAAACAAAATGCACTCTAAACCAATGGTTTGTGGCTATTCTATCTTGAATTACAGCTCATGACGGAGGCATATTAATATAAAAAACACAATTATAGAAAAGAATGGCAGATAAAAGTGTTAATAATCCAAAATTTTCGTTTCAAAATTCCATTCTATAGACCTTCCAATTACCTAACATTGGTAACTAACATTACGATATCATAACAACAGAGCTATTTTCACCTGGTGACAATATTTTGACGCTGTGTTGTCCCATCTTAATACTATATCTTTGGGTATTTAGGAGAGCTTCACATAACAAAAAAGTTTTTATTGAGCAATTTGAATTTATAGTTAAATTTGAAGTCCAAGGGACTAATATATGAAAGGGAATATTCTCCTCTGAATCGATCTTTCTATTAAATTTGCAAGGACATTTGTACCTTTTTAATTCGGGCTTATATTACCCATTTGGTGCATAATTAACAAGAAATCGGATAATGATAAATATGGGAGCTACATCCAAATCTGAACCGATCACGATAAAATTTAGCAAATGTATTTCTGAGCTCTATTTGATATATTTCCCCGAATATCGTTATTACAGAGTGCATATTACGGCTGTAGAGAACAAATATAACAAATTGGATGAACAATAAATATGGAAGCTATAGCTATATCTGAACCGATTTTCACTAAATTTAACATACTTGTTTCTAGGGTGAATTTGGTCGTAAGTACCAAATTACATCCTATTTGGGCAAATATTACAACTTTGGTGTACAGTAAACGGAAAATCGGACGAACGTATATATGGAAGCTATATCTAAATTTTTACCGATTATCTCCAATTTCTTGGGTCAAACAAATGACTTGTGCAAAATTTCATCTAAATCGGGCAATAAATACGACCTGTACTTTGTTTAGAAAAATGCATGGGCAGACAGACGGATCAGATACAGATCATCAAAAGGAACTAAGAGTCTATCTCGTCTATCTCTCCTTTCGCCTGTTACAAAAAAATACACAAAGACAATACGCTGACCACCTTGTGGTATAAAAATATATACACCTTTAAAATTATTCTTTAGAAATCTCCAAACAAAATATAAACGGTCCTTAATAACTTAGTCAAGAGTATTAAAATTACTTACAGATATTTATAAAACGTACGGAAGGTTTTTCTTGATTATAAAAGTATAGCTTGAAAATGATTCTTGAAATGGACAAATGTGTTGCAACAAATCCATACGCACAACAATAACATCTGATGTTGCACGTCATTTAAATATGCACCAAATTGTTATTGGAGTATCTGAGAGACATTACCGAAGGTTACAGTGGTCATGTCCCACTTGTAACTCCCACATTTCAATAAATCTGTTATTTTGAATCATGCACTTATAAAAAAAATTTATAAAACTATGTCATAAATTTTAAACTGTAGAAATTCTGTGAAATATCCTTTCCCGATTCAACTAACAATAATCTTCACGAAATAAACAAGTTTTGATTTATCTTCCTTTTCCTACTACTCAAACAACATTTAAGCAAAACCGTATAGGTTGATGTAAAGGATTTAAAGCCAAAACATAAACCACCTAGAAAACCAATCTAGTATTTAATTAAATATAAAAAAACATTCACTTACCAAATGTAACATAACCAATATTATCGCCAACTTTAGCCTCCGTGTTGGCCAATTCTAATGGTGGTTCACGATGGGAAAAGAGCACTTGTGGTGCAGTATGCGATGCACGACGACCTTCACGCAATTCTTGCATAAAAACTTTACCTATAACAACATCATCTTCATCACGGAAAATGGTACTAAAAACAACAGTAACACGATCCGCTTTGGCCTCAACATACCTAAAGGATAAATGAAAAAAAAAATCAATTAAAAATCTATATAGCATTTATGACAACGTTCTTACAAAGTCTCATCGTTTCTATAATTGATAACAGCACGTTTTTGGCCCTCTTCACCTTGTTCTTGGAAATCGAAATACTTTTCGAAAACGGACGCAAAACAATTACGCTTCAGCAAGCCAATCTTTTTGGCAACATCTTCCCAGTCTGAGGGTATATCTTCTAAATTAATAAGTACGGATACATTGTAGCCTAATAAAAAAAGACGAGAAAACACACACACAATTTTAGGTTAGAATAAAACCAATAGACTATTTACAATTCTCTCTGTTGCATACCATCTTCCGTTTCAGTTAACAGACTGCCATATTCACGCTTGAGCAATTCATCGGCACCATGTTCTTGTAATTGTTGATAGAATTTTAAAGAAATGCTTGTCTGCAATTGTTAAAAAGGCAAAATTAAAATGAATTGTGTTTTTGTGGCGTGACTGTGTGTGCCCATAAATTGTAATTGTTATTAAATGCAAGACACACCATACATGAGGCATACATGCATATGCATGTACACATTTCAAATTTATTACAACTTACTCGAACTTTTGTCTTATCACCATTTATGTTGGATATGTGAAATAACACACCATCAAAGTCTGCTATTTTAATGTCTATTGATTCTGGTTTTAATCTGCAAACAAAAATAATATTTAATTGTATTAGTCATTCATTGACCGCAAATGTTATAAAATATATCTACAAAATATTATTACTACAATATAGGTATATATATTTGGCTTATCATACTCGAGTGATAACGAATGCACTATCAATAGAATGGGGTAAAAAAATAAAAAAAATAGATAAACGAGTTATACCTGTGATATGACATATTTTTATGAAGATAATATTTGCTTTAGCTCAAATTTAGACCGTACTGAAAACCAGTTATAAGCTATTGGATATCCAATTAAAACTTTATTTATTTATACATGAAAACCCGCCAACTTCTTAAAAATGTACAGGGTGAGATAAAAAAACTGCAACAAACTTCAGACTGTCATTTCTAAGCCACACGTCCGACAGCTGTTAAAATTGTTCCAAAAAATAAAATTGTTTCGTTTACAAGCGTACAAAAGCATTTTGATGAGAATTTTCCAGAAAAAAAGTTATTCGTGATGGAATTCAAGCGTGATAGTGTGATTTCTTTATATTTGGCTGGAAAACCACAAGCTATCTTAGAGCACTCCAGCATTTAAATGTGAATAAATCTTTTGTAATATTACCGTGATACTGGTAGCGTAGCCCGACGTAAAGGAAGTGGACGGAAGAAAACAGCAACATCAGCAGAAATGATTCGAAAAGTATAAACGCGACTTGATCGAAACCCGCGTCGCAGTGGCCGAAAAATGGCTCTTGAGCTGAACATATCGCAATAGTCCATTCGGCAAATATTGAAAAATGAACTCGGGTTAAAGCCATTGAAATTCCAAAATGTGCAAGAACTTACGCCGCAACAAAAAGAAAATTTACTCAAAAGAGCCAAAGAGTTGCTTCGCTTGGCCGAAAGTGGTGAACTACCGAATTTGGTTTTCTCCGTCTCCGATGAGAAAACATTCGTTGTCCAGCATTTTGTAAACAAACCAAATGATCGTGTTTACTTGCCAAAGAGGTCAGCTGAAAATGTGCACCTTCGGTTGGCCATCAGAACTCAAACGCCGGGCGGCCATGGTGATGTGTGGGCCGCCAAACTTGAGCACGCAAACATTTTGGCCGCAGACCTTGGACATTCCAACAGGACTCAGCACGCGCCATCTAAAAATGGTAACAAAATGAGGTTCCTCGCTTCATTTCCCTCGCACAATGGCCACCTAAATCTTTTTTTTTTTTTTCTTTTGGAAAGCAAGATTGGCACTAAAAAATACCAAAGTACCGATCACCTCAAGCAAACGCTTCGCCGGGAATGTGCCAAAATACATCAGAGCAACATTCGGCCAGCGTGTGACGGTTTCATTGGCCCTTTAAAGGCCAGAATTCATGCCAAAGGTGGCCAATTCGAACAAATCTAAACTTTTTCTAAAATCTGATGCTGTTTCCGACATTTTATTGCTATCATTCAATAATATTTAAAAAAAATGTAAAAATTACGGCGTTTGACTTTGTAGCAGTTTTTTTTTAATCTTTATATGTATGCAATTCTAATCGCAAAGAAATGTATATTCTAATTTCACCGTTAAGCATCACATGGATTTCAATAGTAGTATTTGAGAGACATATCTATGATAAATCAGAAATATCCCACTTTTAATTCCAGAATTTTAGCAATTTTTCACAAGAAAAATCAAAAATATTTCCGGGAAATATTTTTTTTTTCAATTCTTCAATAATTTTCAAAAAAAAAAAATGGGAATATAAGTTAAAATTCTCTACTTGTTTCAGAAAAATTTAACTGTGTGGTTCTGCTGTGTTGCAGTATTCGAGTGATAAATTTCGAATTGAAAAATTGGATCCTTTGTAGAAATGTTTGCAATCATAATTTGAGTTGAGTTATTTTTAATATAATAATTCATTCGTTTTTACGACAGCTTAGCTTATTATAGGAGTATTTGAGAGACATATCTTTTAATTAAGGGAAATATCCCACTTTTAACTCCATTCATCATTTCAAAATAACTGAAATATAATCTTTGTATGTATGCAATTCTAAACACAATGGAATATATACTGTGATTTCACTGATATTTAGCATCGCATTGATTTGTATTGGAGTATTTGAGAGACACATCTTTGATAAATCAGAAATATCCCACTTTTAACTCCAGCAAATTTAACATTGCATGAGAAAAATAAAAAATATTTTTAGAAATAATTTTTGAATCTGATTATATTGAGTGTTAGGAAATCCTTACAAATTACAATTGCAGACAGCGGTGAATTTGCATTGGAGTATTTGAGAGACATATCTTTTGATAATAAAAAAATATCCCCACAGAATTTTTAGCATATCTCAAGACAATTCCTCACGCTCTATGTGTTATTATTTTAAATGTTTTGAAATCAATTTGGGATTAACAATTTGCTTCCAATTTGAAAATGTTCGCAATCATAAACTAAATAGAATTATCTTTAACATTATAGTTTATTTGTTGTTCATGACCGCTTAGCTTATTATGGGAGTATTTGAGAGACATATCTTTTAATTAAAGGAAATATCCCACTTTAAACTCCATCCATCACTGCCAAAAACTAAAATATATTCTTTATGTGTATGAAATTCTAAGTACAATAAAATATATATTCTGATTTTACTGTTTTTTTTAGTATTGCATGTATTTGTATTGGAGTATTTGAGAGATATATCTGTGATAAATCAGAAATATCCCACTTTTAACCCCAGCATTTTAACATCTATTAAAAAGAAAATAACTAGAAACATTGATCTAGTAATTTGAACAAGGGTCGCTTTTGGTATGGAAAAGTCTGAAAACATTGAGTGAAGTCCTTACTAATTACAAATGCAGACCAAAGATATTTGCAATTGGGAATGTAAGTTAAATGTAATGTAATTTCAGACTGACATCTCCTTTCTTCTGTAAAAATTACCGAAATCAAAATCAAAAATTTAAAATGGTATGTGGATGTATGCAATTCTAAGCGCAATGAAATATAAATTCCAATTTCACTGTTGTTTAGCACCGCATGGATTAGTGTTGGAATATTTGAGAGACATATCTGTGGTAAATCGGAAATATCCCACTTTTAATTCCAGCATTTTTAAATCTTATGCAAAACAATAAAAGCAGTTTTTAGAAATATTTTGTATCATTATTTTTATTAATAAAAATAATTTTAAAATTTGGAAAAGACCAAAGTAAATTTGTTAGATCTCTGAGTGGGGCTAAAATTCTCAGCTTGTTTTTATTAAAAAATTATAATGTATTACTAAGGTATCAGTAGGTCCTGTAAACTTCGTACACGAATTTAAACATCAGACTCTAGTAAAAGTGACATGAATATGCGAAATTCCCACTTAACTATTGTAGCTTCCCTCGAAGGCGCAAGGTTTCCTCTAACTTTATGGAATAGGAATCATGGAATGGTAGTAAGCAGAATCATAAAACCAATTATTACAGAAATTTACATAGGAAAATTTACATAGAGATATGAAAAGGAACAATCTAAAATTTACGGCAACTTCGGCAAATAAATTAATTTCGTCTGACTATGAATCCATCATCAATTACTATTACCAACAATATAAGATCTGTTGCCAAACCGTAAACCCAACAAAGTCGAAAATGTATACTTGGCTTGAAAAGTAAGAGGCCCTTAATTCACTCTTGTCCGTCAATGTCATCTCTTCATTTTTATGGTTTAATGATTTGAAATTTATGATTTGATGTTCATAGTGAAATATAACCGTCTCTAAGGACCAAAAAACCACAAAAAAAAAAAAAACATTTCAATTTTTTTAAATTTTTTCCAGAGTTATGTATTTTTACCCTTATTCCCGGAAGCTTTTTTTTCTTGGGGATTTTTTCCCGAGAGTTTGGATTCAAGACCCGGACTAGACCAGATCCACTTACTCGATATGGACAATATAGGAATAGTTGGAAATCTTATAAAAATGGTCAAATGATTGGGTTATTTGAAGCGTATCGGAAGTCATAGTCAAATTATCGAGTTCTTGAACCCGATTTTTTTATAAAAACCCCAAAAAGTCAAAAAAGGCCAATTATATGGGTCAACAAAATTGATGTCAAATTATAGCTGACACTCATACCTTTACAAAAGTATCAAATTTAGAAAACTTCGATTCGCGTTATTCTGGTTCCCGGAGACGTCCCCCGAGAAAAAAGAGTTCCCTGGAATCAGGGTAAAATTTTCAAAAATAATTGAAGAGTTTTTACTAAACTAAAGTTAAGCCAGCTAATTTATAGATACAAAATTTAGCCTATGAATTAGAAAATTTAATCTTATAAAGTTCAAAATGTTATGTGAGAAGCATTCAACGGACGTATAGAAATGTTCAAGAAATTAGAATAAAAATTATTTTTTTTGGATTTTTGTCTCACATAAAATGCTATATAAAAATTTGTATTAGTGATGCATTTGAAAATAGTTAAAAAATAAACAATAGCGTAACAAATTGAAGATAGTCAATGCAAACGAAATAGGTGACCTACCTATAATATACAAATATTTACTCAAGTCGTGCTTAATGAAGTGTACAATAGCCCGTTTAAAGCAGTTGTATACAAAACGACAATATTGTATTAGTTTATCTCGTATTATTAGTCATCTTAATGCAAAATTCAAAACGTCACAATTCATTTTATGTGTCAAAGCCATCAGTAACGCAGCTTGAGTTTGTGCATATGAACATGCATATGGACATACATCACGACCATGTGTGAAAAAGTTCAATGTAAAAAAGGCATGGATTTTTTGAAAGACAAGATACAGTTTTGAGTTTGTGTGCAACCAAAAAGTTATGATTAGTTGTAATTGGACTTTCCTGTTTGTAAATTTTTTTGTTAATAAAATTGCACAAACAAATTCATAATAAATTAACTAATGGCGTTAGATGATGGCATGGTTAATGGGATGGCAAGCACAGAAATACAAAAGTATAGCTAAAAATACCTGGGTACCTATAGGCGATTTTACACATCGTAATATATATTTTATTTCAATCCGTATTTAGCTATTTCGGGTAAGGGTGCTTTAAATGAGTAGGCGGGATCAATATGTCCCTGTATAGGAAAGACTACACATATATTCAAATATATTCAGGGAACACCAAAAAAATGTGTTGATATTATCAGATATATCAACCACATTGAAATAAACAGAAGTTGATTGTAGCGTATAAGACAATATGACACCATCAATGGCAAGGATTTGGACTTGAAATTCCACATTGAAATAAAGGCACAACAAATTCCCAAAAAGTGAAAGAAATGAATATAAAATAAAAAAAACACACACTACTAAAAACACAACCCCCGACGGCATTAACCCTCCCCCCATTCCCTCCCGCACACACTCTGAAAACGCTGCATTTACTGCTAATGCCTTTGCTAGCAAACAAACAAAAGAAAGAACTACACCCGAATTTAAACACAAACACAAAATAAAATATAAATAACATAAATATGAAGAATTACGATAAGTTTTCGCCTTATCAATCTTGATTACTCACCCGGCCAAGGCATTACGGAACTTCACCAATAACGTCTCCTCGACGATACGATTATTGATTTCCAACAAAATCATAGCTTTTTAATTATTTCACTTCAAAAAATAGCCACCAAGGAAAATATTGAAATTCTCTATTTTCTCAAAAAGGCAATAATAATAAATGCTGGCCGGCTTATGTTTGGAGACAGCGGGCTGGGCAGCAGCAGTGTGATGACGATTGATAAACACAAAAAGGAATAAATTTCTCTCCTGTCAACTAAAATAACATGTGGTTGCTGATAGAGCTGCAAGTTTTTTTCTCGTTGCCCAGTAGGCCTCCTTGACGTTTTTTGTTTCGTTCTTTTTACAATATAAAAAACAACACCCCGCCCTCTTTGAGTTACTCAGATGTATTACGTTTTTTTTTTTGTTGTCACCAAAAGAAATTATGATGGGGCGAAATTAATGAATCAACATTAGCAACATTCACTGGCAAGTGTTGTAGCAGCCACCAACGCCAAGCATGTATTTGTTGTATTTTCTTCCTTTTTGTTAATATAGTTTTTTTAGGTTTGTCTGTCTTGTGATTTTATACACCTCTTCAATGCTTCTTTTGCTGCTGCTGCTGATGTCGGCTTTTTGCCTTAAATTGAAATTCCAGCACTTTTGCACACACCGATATCGGACCTCTTCTTGTCATTCACATTTACACGCACACACTTATACAAAGACGCACTTTTTTCTTTTTTCCAACTCTTCTGCTGCTCGCTCCCGTCAATGTTTCAAACACCTAAGTTTCTTGTTAGCCAAAGCCCATGAACTAATTCCAATTCCTTTAATGTAAATTTTGATTTTCAATTATTTTTTTTGTACATTAAATTTGACAATTCCTTCTAAAAAAATCTTCCCACAAATATCACCGAGAAAATTGTCACAATAAGGGATCTATAAGTTAATTTTTTGACTAATCGATATGTTGTCATTTTCGATTGCTCAACTTTTTAGATGAACTAATCGATGTGGCTTCGACGATTTTAAGTGTGTTTGTTCGATAAAAATGTATGTTATACAATTTACATGGACCAACACAATTGTTTAATGGATAATATGAATATGGTATATTTTTAACATGGTAGAAGAATATAAGTAGATGCATCATCGCTTGCGAACATTGAAATGTCAAAATTTTAAAATTGTTTTGTCAAAAATAAGTAGATTTTTATATATTTTCTTATACGATACAAATCGGAAGTGGTTACAATATGCATTTCTCAACAATTTTTACAAAATTTAATAATTTTTTATTCAACATTTTTAATTCCAAAATCGGTTTGACAGTTCATTGTCCCAGCAGCTGTTTCGAAGCGACTACCTGTATTCTTCTGCCATGATTTTTAATTTGTGCTCTATTCCAAAATCTGTTATTTTGCAATTTTTTCGATATCACAGAGGAAAAATCGTTTATTGCAGTAAGTATTTTTTAAACTTTTTCAGTTCTAGAGCAGAGCAATGACTAACTACGCGCAACATTCCCAAGAACATTTGAAAATGTTAATAGTGGAAAAATAAATGTCTGATCTTTTTAAAAAAAGAGGCCTCTAAGACAAAGTGCAGTATGTTGTTAGTTCCTAAAGGGTGAAATATAATTAAAATTTGTTGCTTATTTTTTTCGTATTTGACATCCCATGTTGACGTTTGATTTGACATAAACTTATATTTGAGAATTACTAATTTTGATTTATTTGATTTAGAATTCAACGCAAGAAATATATCAACGGTTTTTTGTACAACTAATACGTTGTTGTTTTCAAACATCTATGTGTGATACAATAATACAGCTGCTATAACAATGAACTGTTCAAACATTTTTGAATTGCAAATTTTGTATGACAAATCATTTAAATTTGTTAAAATTATTGAAAAACGCATATTGTATCAACTTCTGAATGACTTTATATAAGAAAAAATTGAATAATTAACTTATTTTTTCATAAACTTTTAATATTTTTTACATCTTTTTTTTTCATTTGACAGCATTTTATTGTCAAAAACATACTTATATATCCATTGCATATACACAAATTAGTGATGGGAACCTGTTTTCTCTGCAGTGAAATTTGACAGGATAATTTACAGAAAATGCAGAGATGCGGTTATTTAAAATATTTTTACCTTCTGTTTGCATATTAAAATTTAAATGTTTATGCCATGTTTACGTTAGAACTATTTGTAGGGTTAACCTACTTTGAATATTACTCACGATCTCTCCGCCAAATGGTCATTCTTACAAGCCAAATATTCAGTTTTTTCACGTTTTTATTCCCTATAGAATTAATGTTTCTTATACGTAATATGTATTTCTTCATATATTAACATTAGTATTATTAAAATTATATAGAGAAAAAATATTATTATAAAAGCATACATACGTACAATAACATAACCTCTTCATTCTATCCGTTTTTTAGTATAAATAAAACCTAAGCAATTTATCGTCAATATATATTCACGGGAGCAACATCAGCGATTTCCTCATTATTCAAAATCTTGATTTGGCATTCACATAAAAATTGTAAAATTTTACGCTCGGCCTTGGCCTTCTGCTCCGGATGGAGACCATCCAGTAATATATGGACTTTTTGTAGCATTTCAGGTTGCATGCTGAGATGTTGTTGTTCCAATTCAAAGCGAAATTGGGCCTTTTGGTTTTGTATAGCTTTTAGACAATCCTGTGATTGTCGTAAAACATTTTCCATATTTGAAATGACATTATGCAGTTTATCTTCAGCATCCAGATGCGGACTATTCTCTGCTGTGTGTGCAGCATTTGTTGTGGTTACATAGGTTGTACTTGTTGGGGTTACATCCTGTGCCACATGGTAGGTAACGTGTTGCATTGTCGGGTTGGGTGTACCGGGTTTACTTTCCTTTTTGTTGGGCAGCAACAAAAATTCATCAAACGTTTGCTCCTGCAGTTCTTGTATGTCGGTCTCTTCTGCTATCAGCTCATGTTCTACGTGATCTTCGTTATCCGAGTAATAGGAATGACTAAAGTCATCTCCCCAAGGATTTTCTGCTTGTGCGGTTGCAGTGGCGGATTGATTGGCTGCTTTAGAAGCTGCGGATAATCTTTCTTTGCGTTTTATTTCTTCAATTGGAAGCGGGATACTGTAATGAAAATCATAAATCAATACTTTAAGATCTATGGCTCATATTTCATATTTGAACTTGCCCTTTTCTGTAGTGACTTTCCAGAAATCGCAAATCATTGAAATATATCCATGTAATTGGTTTGTCGGGATTCAACTGTACTTGTCGGTATTCACGTGAGAAACGGTCTCTCAACTTTTTCCATTTGTTGTAACACATTTCCTCTGAAAAATATTTTACTCAAATATTGTAAACAACTGTTTTTGTCTGTCTATTGTCACAGCTTACCTGATATACCAAGGGCATTTGCTATATTTGTCCATGCCTCATTTTTGGCTGTCAAGTTCTTCGAGTCCCGCACCCGCTTGCGATCGTACAAAACATCATGTTCTTTAACCAAGGCAATAATGTTTTGATTCAAAGCCAGCTCTTCTGGTGATATTTTTGTATCACTATTTTCTCCCGAATCTTCATCTTCCTCCGGTCTGTGTATTTTACGTTTCTTTATTTTTGGTTCGTACTTTATGCACTCAATGTCATTGTTGCACGCACTTCTGGCCCAGGGGGTGGGAATAAAAATTCGAATTATAATAAATTCAAACAGTTAGGATTGGTTATTTCGCGCTTACCCTTGCTTATAGTGATCCTTAAGAAACCACAAATGTGGAAACAGCTCCCAATTGGTAACATCTTGTGGATTCTGTTGTTGGCGCCTAAATTCTTTGCCAAATCGATCTCGTATCGACTTCCATCTAGTGATGCAGGCTATCTCTGACTTCTTTACACGCTGAGCTATTTCTCGCCAAACGTCACTTTTCAGCGTTGAATTCTTGTTGCCGCGTGTATGCTCTTTGGCATAGAGAATTGGATAGCTTTCGACCAATTTCACAAATTCCAAGTCGGACTCTTTGTTATTGTTCATTTTCTACAATTATTTGTATTTTTATTACCAAACATTAATGTTTTGTCCATGAATTTATAAAAGATTGGTTTGCTCTTCTTCTTCGGCTTGTGTTTTGGCGTTTTCTGGACACTTTCTTGGTAACCGGGTGTTGCCAGATCTGTCAAATGTGTGGTGGTTAGTGAAACGGAACAGCAAGATACGTAGTTTTACGTAATTATTTTACGGAATAGAGGAAATGAAAAAAATGGGAGTTGCTTCAAAAATGGGTCACGTTTGCACTGTTTTTGTTTTGTCAGTGGTTAGCTTTACTATCTTCGTTGCTTTAAGTGAAAGAATAGCTCAGTTCTCGAATATTTTACTCGAATAATGTTCCCTAACAATTGTTGCCAAATATATAATACCTCTGCAATTCTCTCGCTTTGTAGAAGTCAAATTAAAAAAGGCACAAAGAAATATAAGCTAATACAGATCAAAGCTTGAATCGTGACTTCAGCGTTTCGTTCAGACAAAAAGGGCAATAGTGTTGTATTTTTACACGATTTAAGCTTTGATCTGTTTTGCTCATGGTAGAATTAAGATGGTAAAGCCGTGCAATCATATGTTTACATTTTTTTTAATTATTCCTTGACAACGTCTCATTATCAAAATGTATATTCATAAATCCATTGTATACACACAAATCAGAGATGCGAACCTGCTTTCTTTGCCGTGTAATTTGACAAAATAAATTACAGAAAATGCAGAGCTGGGAATGTTTATTTTATTTGACGCATCCAATTTCGTTGAGAAAATTAGTTAATTTTAATTTTCGTAAAAAAATCCAAATATTTTTTGTTAACAAAATATGTGAATTTTCCTTACCAAATTTAACCACATTGAAAAAATGTTTAATTTTTTTGGCACATAATGGATTTGTGAAGAAGCAATTTGACAATGATATGTTGTCATTGTGGATTGTGCTCCAAAACCTCGAAACTAGTTCTAATTTGTGCTATTATTGCGATGTCATAAAAAAAATGTTAAAGTTTTAGCTTCTTGCAGCTTAATAGAGCAATGATTGCACAGTTTTACAATTATAATTCTAGCAGGCATATAACATCCAAATTGAGGGTTGTATTTTACCTACTTTTTTTGGTGAATCTAATCTAAAGAACTCATTTGATTCATTTTAAAACATCTTCAGTTTGGTCCATAATTTAAATCGCCTTACAGGCAAAAAAAATCCCTGCAAATTATTGTATTTTAGTATAAAACTGCGTGGTCTGTTCAGAAAAATTATCGCGCTTGCGACATAGTACAGCTTTGGCCAAATATGTTTTTAACTTTCCTACAACTCTTTAAATTCCAATCGTAAAATTTCCCCAATATGTAAATTCCCAGCTCTGGCATCGCCGGTAACAAATAAAAGCCAATCTCTTAATCCAAAGTCGATCTATGAATCCCTTACTGTTGTGCAAGAAGAAGCAGCCAGGCAGAGAGAAAGTGCCATAAACCCTTTAGCCCCGTATCGAAATCAATCTATAACATATAGCCACTGATCACAACAAGCATTAGTTTAGTCTCTATCGGCAGAAGTAAAGATAAAGTCATCATGGCAGCACCTAAATCCGGAAAAGCAGCTTCAGCGGCCAAAGAACAAAGCGGAGCAGTGAAGGGGTATCTATTTATTTACAATGCGGCACAGGTGGTTGGCTGGAGTTATATACTGTATCAATTGGTCAATTACTATTTGCTCCAAGGTCCGGAATTCAGAAATAGCATTACATTGTGGGACTATACCCGTGTGTCTGTGATCATTTTCCAAAATGCTGCTTTTGTGGAAATTTTAAATGCTGCCTTTGGTTTGGTGAAATCGAACCCCGTCCTAACGCTGTTCCAGGTATTCAGTCGTATGATGGTTGTTGTTGGTGTTGTTATGGCCACGCCTACTGCTAAGGTATCACCTGGCCTGCCCATTGCCCTGTTTGCATGGTCCGTTACGGAGATAATCAGATACGGCTACTATGCTCTGAATATTGTCAAGTTTGTGCCGCACATTTTGGTATTCCTGCGCTACACCACCTTCATTGCCCTCTATCCTATTGGTGTGACTGGTGAGTTGTTGTGTTTCTGGTGGGCTCAAAGTTATGCCAAATCGAATACCGTGTGGTCCATTGAAATGCCAAATATTTACAATATGACATTCTCCTACTTTGCCCTGTTGTGGATTGTGATGTTGGGCTACATTCCTCTGTTCCCACAACTCTATTTGCATATGTTTGCCCAACGCCGTAAGATGCTCGGAGGAGGTGATAGTAAAAAAGCTGCTGCCAAAAAGACACACTAAATTGAGTGCATTTTTCCATATTTGAAAAAAAAATTTACGGGAATAGAGGTTGTCGAAATTTGAATGAGAGTTAAGCTAGCTAGCCGTGACATCGTGACACACATACATACATGTTGAAAAAAATATAATTTCAAAACCTGTTTAACAACAACTGATCATCAACCTTCATAAATGGAAATTGACCTTTGAATTTGCGAAATGCATTTGAATGAATAGACAAAAAGAGGTGATATTCGACTTCTTGTAGTTCACTTTCACGCACACACATATTGGCGCACACATTCGTTTCATTTTGTGTCTTCATAATTATACAATGGAAAAAGTAAATTATTGAAATTTCGTTAGTCGATCAAACGAAGAGAGGGTCATTTTCGTTGCTTAAATGGTATACCTTACTAGCCACTTTTGTTTTGTTGTGTGTCTTAATTTGAATTTAGTAAATATTTTGCCTCTCTTATCCATATGTATTAGCTACATATTTATGTATATAAAGACGATCTTTTAACCTGTAACATTTCCATTTAGGCTTGTCATTATTTTTGTATTGTTTTAAGATACATAAGTTAAGAAATATTTAATGGTACAACGGACATTATTGTATAAAATAAACGAAACATTTTCACATATCCAAAATGAAAATGAAAGCCAAAAAAATGCCCAATTGTTTCAATTAGCTTATCTTGTTTGGGGGTATTTAGTAGGTGTAAATTATTAGATAAGATTTTTTTTATTGCCCCCCATCATGGATTGGGTGGACTCGTGGCCGTTCATTTTGTTTAGCACATTTTAAAATGAAGAATCAAACAATTTGCCAATAAAAATAAATTAAATACAATTTTTATATTGTCTTGAATCTCGTTTTTTATTGCATATACAATATATATTCTGTGCTTAAAAGATATTTTTAAATTACAATAAGGGGGAGAATAAAGATAACTAATAAAATAATAAATTTGAAAGAAAACAAGTGTATGAGCCTTTCAAAGGCAAACGGATAATAGGTATTTCTAAAGTCTACAAAATGGTGTTACTATTTATCGTTATTTTAGTTTATACAAAGCAGTCATTTCGTATATAACAACAATCATCCCAAAGATAATTTTCTTCATGATGGCATGGAAAGGTAAATTAATGCTGTGACCATTGGATATTTTTCAAATCAATACCCTCTTGTACCATTTCCCACAGCGGAGACATTTCACGCAATCTTTCGACATGTTGTATGCACTTGTCTGCAGTATAGTCGACCTCTTCAATGGTTGTAAAGCGGCCAATGCCAAATCTGAAAATAAAAATGATAAATAATTTTTAGTTAAAAAAGGTTTAAATGAGGCCCGGTTGGGGAAAGGATGGGAATGGCAAGGTCCCTCTAAAAACAGATGTTTTTCTGAAATATGCAGACATGAAAAACAATTAAAGTTTCTTCAACGACATAGCCACCCGCGAGGAAAATTAAATCCAAAAACGTTTTTGTTATGAAATTTAAATTAACTTTTTTTTTTCCTTTTTGAAAGCTTTCTTTTGAAATTTTTAGGGAACAAGAATTGAGCGTCAGTAGCTCCTTTACTAGCCACAAATATATTGCACTTGCAAGTGCCCAATACTTCGGCAGCGAAAAGTCGACCTTAAAATTATAGATTCGTTTCAACCGTTGGTATTAAGTCTTTTTTGCATCACCCAATTCAGTACTTTTTGTACAATTATAGAACCCATTTCCAAACATCCCTCCAAATCTCAGAAACTAATAATTATCGAAATATTAAAGTTCAGATTTGTATCTCTATCCCTTGAACGAAGACCAAATGTAGCACCATTTGGTACTTTTTGTACAAATATACAATTATAGTACACATTTCCATAACCACCTCCATATCTCAATTCTAAATACCTACAGAGACCTAAATATTAAATTTGGGGGTTTCTGCTCTTTTCCTCCACCCAATACCAAATTAAATATCATTTCGTACTTTTAGTACAAATATAGTATCCATCTCCAAAGCCACCTCCAAATCTGAACCTCAGAAACCAATAGTTATCGAAATATCGAATTTCAGAATTGTATCTCTATCCCTTCACCCAATAATAGATTAAGTAATAGTCAGTACTTTTCGCACAATAACAGTACTCCTATCCGAAACTACCTCCATTTGTCAGTCTACGTAAGAACAGAGACCCTAATAATAAATTACAGATTTCAAGCACCCAATACCAAATATAGTACTATTTGGTACTTTTAGTGCACTTGTAGTACACGTTTCAAAAAACCACCTCTTTATTACAAACCTATCACCAAAAGGGACCCCAATACAAAATTTTAAATTACAGCTTCATCCGTTCATCCGTTCACCCTAAACCAAAACCAAAATATGTACCATTTAGTACAGTTCGCACATTTAGTACAATTTCCATTTCCAAAATCACCTTAATATATCATACGAAATATCAAGTCTACATAGTATCAAAGATACCATTAGTACAATTTTAGTACGTTTAGTTCAATTTAAATAAGTTTCGTACCCTTTTAGTTCGAATTTACACAAAATCTTCGGTACATCTATCCTGCACCCCATCAGTCATTATCATTCCAAATTTCATTCCAAATTTTAGTTCGTTTCGTACCCTTTTAATACGAATTTCCGAAATTCGTATTCGTAATAACACGCCTACGCACCAAGACTGACTCTTGTGCAAAATTTTAAGATTCTAGCCTCAGCCGTTTAATCTGGCCCTTGATTCTCATTCAAACTTACCTTATTGAACTGTGTGCCAAATCTTCCTCGGTACCAATAGCGCGCAAAACATAAGACGGTTCCAATGAGGCTGAGGTACATGCTGAACCCGACGATAAAGCTACATCCTTTAAAGCCATCAACAGTGATTCACCTTCCACATAGGCAAACGAGAGATTTAGACAACCATTATAGGTTTGTTCGGGATCTCCATTGCGGATAACATGTGGCAATGCTGTTGTTATACGGTCCAACAGACGTTTCGATAGGAAATTTATCCATTTCGTATCGTATTCCATTTCTTTTTGTGCCAATTCAGCGGCTGCACCCAAACCCACGACCAATGGGGCCGGAACGGTACCACTACGTAGACCTCTTTCTTGGCCACCACCACTTTGAATGGGTTCCAAACGTACACGTGGCCGTCTGCGTACATACAAAGCCCCAACGCCCTTGGGACCATAGATCTTATGGCCGGAAATTGACATTAAATCAATGTTCATGGAATTGACATCGAGTGGTATTTTACCCACCGCCTGGGCGGCATCGGTGTGGAAGAAGACTTTCTTGGAACGGCACAGAGCTCCAATATCAGAAATGGGTTGTTTTACACCTGAAGGGGAAAAGCATATTAATAAATTACTTAATTTCAAAAAAGGTAGTGTCAGGCGAATTTTACCAATTTCATTATTGACTGTCATTATGGATACTAATGAGGTGTCAGGTGTAATTGCTTCCTCCAGTTGTTTCATGTCGATAATACCATTGGCTTGAACAGGCAAATATGTTACACGAAAGCCTTCGTTCTCCAGGGCACGGCAGGAATCCAAAACGCATTTGTGTTCGGTCTGTGTAGTGATGACATGTTTTTTCTTGGAACCATAAAATCTAAAAAAAAAAAAAATAAAAAAAAAAAAACGACGTAAGGTTGGGCTTTATCATGTGAAAACTAGCCTTTTGACCCAAACGAATATCTTCAAAATCTCTAGAATTCTAAAGTTCCGGGCTAAATTCATATTGAATATTTTTGTCGAGTAGTTAATCTATCCACAAAGAATTCGAAATATCAAATTATAGCTGACATGGCTAAAATTTGGGTAAGAAACAGATAATTTAGTTAGAAATTAGGTCAGATGTCCTGAAAATATCGAAATTCTGGAGAAGCTGTAAAAGGGGGATTATGCCTATAAAATTTTAAAGCTCCATCTTCTATAGATTGAGTTTCTACCTTGGTTTCAACAGACGGACGTACAATGCTATACCAAGATCTAGACCTATATTGAATAGTTTGATGAGAACTGGTTAACAATTCGGATCGAAATCTTCGAAATACTGAAATTCATGAGGTACCGTCCGTTACATGGGATATGTACCTAAACGGGACTAATATACACCGCTTTCAATAACAAACATCCCTGTAGTGACATCAATGCAGACAGAGAACCTTTTTCGTCAGAAAATGTAACAGACTATACCTCTATCGAGATGTACATCTTCTTCTTCTTCTTTTGCCTTTACCTTGCTACACCTTTAACAGCAATGTTATTCGATTCTGTGGCACCAGATGTGAAAATGATTTCCTTGGGCTCAGCACCGATGATGGCAGCAACCTGTTCACGTGCCTTTTCGACAGCCTGTTCTGTTTCCCAGCCATAAGCATGGGTGCGAGAATGTGGATTACCATAATAGTTGGTCAAATAAGGTAACATAGCATCCAGAACACGAAAATCCTAAAAGAAAATTAACAACTCGTAACAATAACGTACTTTTGTCATATTTCAATGCTCACCAAAGGTGTTGTGGCCTGGGCATCCAAATACAGTGGGCGACCCTCTACATTGTCTGATTTGATATTGAGCTTAATGCGTTTCTGTCGAAATTCTGCAAAGGGAAGATGAAACAACAATGTTTACATAACCTCAACAAAGGGAGATAATAACAAGGATATTTAAGGCAAATAATAATGCATTTTGCCTTTTTTAACATTATTTTCAAAACATACGTTCGGAAGAAGAAACGGCTGCCTCGCTTTGCTGTCCTACTGTGGCCGACTGACTGATACACGCAACCCATTGTCTGTTGAGACCAATTGCGGCTTTAACAGCCTTTGGATTTATTAAACGTAACATTTCCGTAAATTTACTATTGCAATAAGTTTAGATTAGCTTTATATTTCCAATATTGATTTATTCGCTTCCAATATTGAACAATTTCACAACAATCCACACAACCCAACGAATCCTCTTTCCTTTGACAATCTCTAGAATCACTTGAAAACAAGAGATGGCAAATAATCGATGGATAATTTATAAGGGAATATCGATTGATAGTTTTTATATCGATATTATCTGACGATATTGCCGACTATCGGACAATACTTCTCAGAGAGTTGTTTCCATTCACAAGCAAGAGGCAACACGCTGAAAACCAACAATGTATAGAAAGTGGGAAGAGGCAACGTGCCGCAACAGCTGTTGAGAATCTCCTGAAAACTAGTGTTGTGTGATTTACGAACAAACTAGTTCGATTGAACGATTATTGAAAAGAGTGTGTTTCTGTCAATCTAAAGGGTGCTTTTTGAGAATTATAGGAATATTAAAAAAAAATAGAAAAAGGCAATAAATCTTTATTTGAAATGATAGTACGTTCCATATAATTTAATATGTTGACGGCGCCTTAAATGGTCCATCCGCTTAGTCCAATTTCGACATGACCTTTGACATGTGAAATAAAGGCTCTGGAACAAATCAAATATAAAAGTAGCCAAGGTAGATCAAACAGGTAACCGCATCGGCGAATTGCTAAAACAAAGCAACTTTTGTGGTCCCCTCAAATGTCAAAATTGGCATCTAAGGCGAAAAACATAGATTCGCCATGACATTTAAAGGTTGCGGCAAATTTGTTTCAACCAATCAGAAACGAGGTGTTTGTTTACATTTTATTTTGTGTGCCTCTCGTCGTAAACGAACGTCGCAATAAAAGTTTTTATTGTAAAACAAATAAGAGTAAAATAAGTATTAATTGTAGTATTGCGATATTTTTTAAACCAAGAAATTTATAATGACTATATTTTACTGGTTTAAACCGAAAGTTTTCCGGAACTGAAAATGGCAAGAGTCGAATTCTTGCACTACTCCCCGTGATGTGCTTTGAGAATCTTAGATGTTGAGGCTAACTTAATTCTTAAATCTGCACTCCATTCTAATCTCCTTCCTTTATTTTCTTTTATTTTTTTACTGGTTTCACTCTAAAATTGCTCTTAAATTATTTGAAATATTATAAAAAGGTACTTTTAGGGAAGACAACATAAACAAATTTGTTGTTGCATTCATTTAGGGCGAATTCATCATTACAACAATTTGTTTTGACATTTAATGGTGCCGTCAGCTGGGCTGATGCGATTACCTAGTACATCTACCTTGAAAGTAGCGTTACTTCATTAAAATGAAGAAGAAGAAGGAAAACTATCTCGTCAATGCCGCTATCATAACTTCTAACGCCGTTAAGAATAATATTACAAACACTTTGTAAACACCCTGTTAAACTTGGACAACAATAAAATTGTTGCTCTTACGAAGCGGGAATCAAAACAAAAACCAAAATTTTGAGAGAAAACATTTTGCGAATGAGAGAGAATGAAAGAAAACAATACTACTCTGCTTCGTTGCCAACCTGGCTGGCGTTGCCATTGTTTACAACAACGACTGTTTTCGTCTTTTTTACTCAGAATACGGACGAAATTTAAAGCGGGTGGTTGTGTAAACGGACGTCGTCATCTGTCGCCGTTGTTGTTCTCGAATTAGTGAATTGTGAAAAAATAGCAATTTGCTTGCTTGTGCTGTATCTCTGAAATAAAAAGTGAAAAATAAATTATATTTTTATACATAAAAGAAGTAAAAAAAGAGGAAAAAATGAATAGAAAAAGTGATTGAATTTGTAAGAAAGAAAAAATTGTATTTGTTTTGCTTAAAAGTTATGCAAAATCAAAAGAATTAAAGGAAATCAAATGGAAAATTATTAGTGGAAAATTCAATAAAAGTATCTGTTGGCTTATTCAGTGGTGTGCGTGCGTGTGTGCGGCTGCTTTGCTTCTTGTTTTCTTTTTTTTTTTGGCTGCGAAGGAATATTAAATAAAACAACAACAATAGTTTGCATGAAAGCAAAACCAAAGACTGAAAATATATGAAAGTGCAATGTTTTATATTGCCGTTTGGGGTTCAGAGCGTTTTTTGGCTGTTAAATTATTATTATTTAGAAAAAGCATAAGATAAGAAATCGTAGGAGTAGAATTTCTTCATTCCCTTCAAGTGAAATAATTTAAAGTTATAGTACTCAATTGTTGGGTTTGGTTACACTTTTTGACTCTTCCACCCACGCTTTCACGCCTTTTGCGAAAGAATGTGCCTGAGAATGTTGAGAAAACAAAACATGAAGAAAAAAAAAAAAACAAATATAAATGCCTACATCTGTCATCCGCCGTCGTCGTCATTGTTGTTATTGTTGGTTTGTGATAACTAAGTCCCCGGCATATACAAACAAACTCTCTCTTGACTTACATATTTCTCGTTGAGTTGTTGTTGTTGCTGATGAGTGTAGTTAACGGTGATGATGATGTTGCATTCATTATTTATTTGTTTTGAATAGGCAAAGGAATTCATTCTTGTTTTAATACAAACATCTGCGGTTTTGAATTGACTAATTTTACAATATTGCAGATGGGGAGGAATTATTTCTGGTATATCAAAAAGTAGAAGACATGTTCTTTGATAAATTTTTTGATGGGGAATTGAAACGTAGGAGACCAATTTGCCTTCCTCGCAGGCGAGAAGTGAACGTAGGTATTTGTGATAAATTATTTTTTGAAATTATTTCGCTTTAATTGTATTTTCTAGACAGATGCGAGGATGTGTGTGCATTCCTGACAGAAAAAAAAAATTGCCAAACATTTATAATGGCAAAAACTGCAAAAAAATAGTTCTATTTCTGGCCAAGCTGTCGCACAGAAATATAGTGGATTTGGAGAAGTTTTGTGTATTGAAATATTACTTAAAACTTAAATGCGGATAAAATGAATAGACTTGGTACTGCCTGAGAGGTAGCTTTACCTGTAAAATCCTTACTTCAAGGCAGAAATAATCTAGAAAGTCCTGACTTCAACTATATTTTAAGTCCTTATTTCTGATAAGAGGCTTACTTTCCGAGATTGTGGACTTAAGACTCGCCAACAAAATTTGCATTTACAAAGTAGTAATTTTTGGATTTGGCATCTGATCGGATGCTCCAAACATATGTGCAGATTACAATACCCAAAATATATTACTGAAGGTGTCTGGCATTCTCAGAAAATTTGACGCCAACCCAAAAAATTTGCATTTCCAAATCATAATTGCTAAAAATTGGGCGAGAGGCATTTTTAATGATTTTTGTCAAAGTGGTGACGCATTGAGGAACATCTGGCTGTACCTGGGCATTGACCTTAGACTAATTTCGTTCCGTATTCTCGGCCAATAAATACAAAATTAAAATCGATTCTTGTTGGCAAGCCAATGTGGAATTGTGATATCTAATACCTCGGTCTAGAAGCATTTTTGATCCTCTTTCCGAAATTGCATTTCAAATTTATTTTTAAAAATTATTTTTTATGCGATTGGGAAATTATTATTGAAAAAATGTAGGAGAGTAATCTAGAAGCATATTTGAAGACCACTACAAAAATGCAGAGTTAATAGACGTTCGCCTATTCGTTTCTGGTTACCGGGCCCGGGTACGTCGAGCCATTTTAGAACAAGGGACCTCTATAAGAAATTCATGTGGTTTTAGGGAATTTAGGAATTGACAACAGGCAATCTTAATTATCTGAAATTTGCGGTGATTTTAGAGATTTATGATAGTCCGAGGATAGATTTTTTTTGCCCTTAAAAATGATATTTCTGTCTACGCCCCAGGGCTACATAACCAACATGTTTTTTGCCCAAATTTATTACTCAAAATAAGCTGCAACTGATTACAATTGCCAACAGATTAAAAATGAATTAAGAAAATAAAAATTAAAACAAATTAAAATGTCAACCTTCCCTCTTTTAGTTCCCAACAGTTTTGCTGCAAAAGCCCACAACAGAACAGAGAACTTTTAAAGTCTCACATTTGCAAAGAGAGCCGGCTGCAGCCAGCTATAGCAGCAGGATTTCCTGTGCTGCATCCGACTGACGTCGTAACCTACATCAAAGAACATCAAAAAAATTTAAAAAATTGCAAAAAAAAAAAAAAAAAAATCCGCCCACCCAAAATCCGTGTGTGTTTACATCACCGTTAATTTTTATACGAATTTGGTTTTCGAGATCGTGTTTTGTTTGAGTTCCTTTTTTTTATCTTGAAAATAAAAATACAACTTCTTACATCCATCCATCCATTACAATTTATGTTTATACATACGTAAATGTGAAAACATCAGCAATAAAAGTGTTACAGAAAATAATCTCTAGAGTGCAATAAAAACAACAACAACAACAGCCAGCAACCCCTTGTAAGGGTTAAATCAAAAGGAACGAATTTGTGGTGTATCAACCAGGTTGTTTTGGAGCAAAGTGGAATAATAAAGGTTAGTAAATTTTTATTATATTTATTTTATTTGTTTATTTATTGATATTATTATAGTGAATATATAATATTAATATGGGAGAAATCAAAGCATAGGCTGCATAGACCATTAGTTTATGCATTTTATAATAGTTTTGGTACTAAATTATATGAACAATTATATTATTGTCACCAAAATCACCAAGGTTATAGGATTAAAGTAATACACTTTTTTATTCAAATTATTTTATCTACAAATACCATAAAATATTAATAATTTCGTATTTTGAAAAACAATAAATTGAAACACTTGTCCTCCTTAGAACCCCTAAAGAATATTGAAAACTTGTTTATTGTTGCTTGAGCCTCCTATTGCATTGGAGCCTTTTACAGTTTTTGAAAAAATAATCTTCCTGGTTTTTGTTCTTTTTTTGGATATTCTTAAAATCTATAAAAAAAACGCGTTTATTATCCTACTGGGGACCTCCAAACAATCTTAAATATGATTTACGTTGATAGTCCTCCTTGAAGCCTCGAAAAAATCAGTAAAAATCCAAATTTGATGTATTGCTTGGAGTCTCCTAAACTTCTTCAAAATTCTACGTTATTTTGTCCTTTCTGTGGCCTCCTGTGAATGTTCGAAAGATCCTACTTTATTGCCCTCTTTCTATATTAGGCCGCTTTAAGGCCATCAAAATTTTTTTAAAACATTCTCAATATGTCTACCTTTTGTACCCTATACGTTGATATACAAGCTTTAAAAAGTCGTAATTTAATATAATTTGTAGGACCTCCTTAAATCTTAAAAAATTAAAGTTTATTTTCCTATGTGGTGTTCATTGAAAATATTGAAAAAATCCTTAACGTTTGTCCTATTTTACGATACATATCCTCTTTGAAGCCCTCCGAAAATATTAAAAAAAATTTGTTCTTTTAGAGGCCTCCTAAAAATATTTAAAAAAAAATATTTTTCATATTTGCGATACATTAAAAACATTTAAAAATTCCTAGATTTGTGTCGTCTTTGAGGCTTCCTAAATATTAAAGAAATTCTTTGGTGTCACTTGCAAATATCGGAAAAAAATTCACATTTATTGTCATCTAAAAATATTGATTTTATTCCTCTTTGTGATCTGCTCAAAAATCCACTTCTATTGTCCTATATAGGGTCTAATAAAGTCCATAAAAATTAAAGCGCTCTTTGGGGACTCATAAAAATCCTTAAAATTTTCCTCTAAATGCTCCTTTTTTTAAACAATTTTTAACCAATCTTCTTTATTTGCCCTCGAAGATTGTCCTCTTTGATGTCCTCTAAAAATCCTTAATAAATCCTCGATGTTTGTCCCCTGGGTTCACCCGAAGAATCTTCTAAAAATCCTTTAAAAGTCCTCGATATTTGTTCCACTTGATGCCTCCTAAAAATATTGAAAAAATTGTAGACGTTTTTCCTCTAAAGGGCCTCTTAAAAAATTTAGAATCAAACCTTGATATATGTGATCTTTTAGGCCTCCTAAGAATATTGATCAAATCCTTTATATGCCTTCTATTTGGGGTCTTCTAAAAATATTCGAAAATCGTTGATCTTTGTCCTCTTAAGACCTCATAATATAATACGAAAAAAATTTTGAAGGCATCTTAAAAATCCGTAAACCATCCCCCATGTTTGGCCATTTGGGAATAACTAAAATATTGAAAATTCTCGAAATAAGTCCTATTTGAAGCATCCAAAAAATCTTTGACATTTGCTGCTTTGGATCCTCTCTAAAAATATTGAAAAACCTTTACATTGTTGTCCTGTTTGGATTTTTTTTTTAGAAATTTAAAAAAATTCCGTAATTGTGACCTTTTTAGCGATTTTTAAAAATATTGATATAGACCCGACATATACTAAAAAAATTCGTGGAAATTTGTTACCTTCGGTTCTTTTATAAAAATATTGGAAAAATCCACTATGTAGCCATAAGAGATTGTTGAAAAACCCGTCCTCTTTGGGCCTCCCTTTTTTAATTGTCAATATTTGTCCTCTTTGGATTTTCCTATTATTTTTCTCTGTAAGAAACCCAAATATTTTTCCTTTTTGTAAATAATAAATAAATATTGCAAAGTTGTCCATATTTTTCTTCTTTGGGCCCTCCTAAAAATGTTGGACAAATTCTCGATAATTGTCCTTCTTTTGGTCTCCTAAATATATTGTTTGTGCAATATCGAAATATCCTCGATATTTACCTTCTTTGGGAGCTCCGGAAAATGTTAAAAAAATCACTAGGAGGCTTACCTTTTAAAAGGCCACCTTAAAACATCCTCGATATCGGTCTTTTTTGGGGCCACTAACAATAAAAAAAAAAATAGAATTTATCCATTTTGCTGTCCACTAAAAATATTGGAAAAAAATCCTCGATATTTGTCCTCTTTGGGTACTTGAAAATATTGAACAATTTTGAATACTTGTCCTCTTTCAGCCCTGTCAATAATTTCGGAAAAAAATCCTAGATATTTGTGCTCTCTGGGGCCTCCATAAAATATTTAATAAACTTTTCGATTTTTCCCCTTTTTTAGGTCACCTAAAAATATGGAAATATCCCGAATATTTGTAATTTTTGGGTCTCCTAAAAATCTATAATAAAAATCCACGTATTTTGTTTTTAGCCTTTAAACCTGTCTATGGAGACTTCCTCTGATTCGCTTTGATTCGTCTATATATGTTTCCTCTCGGCTTGTCTATGGAGGTTCCCTTCAATTCGTCTATAGAGACTCCCTTCGATTCGTCTATAGACGAATCCTCTATGGAGACTCCCCTCAAATATGCATTGAAAAAGTTGTGAAATAAATTTTCAACTAAATTTAAAACAAATAATGGAAATCGAAACCTGTTTCCATTGATAAACCACAACGCTTTATTCTTTCTTCCTTCCCTCATTCATTCATTCATTCAATACAATATGATGCACTTTCGACCTTGTAATCAATTTTCATTGTTGTTTCTCCCACACTTGACATACATGCAAACACATTCAGACCGTGCATATGGTGCAGCAACCAACAACAAGACCTTGCCCTTTCAAACCTTTGTAAAATCGCACACACACATCCAAGCGGCCAAACTAAGTCAGGCCAAACACAAACAAGTTCGATGGATATAACAGCAGGACCATTGTGTTCAATAAACTTTAAGGCAAACATGCTGAACCGAATAAAAAAAAATGATGACAACAATAACAAAAAGCAAATTTTGAACAAAACCGAAAAGAACTGAAAGGATTTTGTGAAATTTTCCAAAAAAAAAGCAGAAAACACGGTGTGCCTTTTTCAATGGCCAAACAAAGGAATTGTCATCCTTAACCCAAAAAAATGTATGCACATGTGTGTAAAAACCCACAAAATAAGGCAGCAGATAGTAAAGAGAACACCAAAAAGATATGAAAAATCAAAGCCAAAGAAGCAATCGCCTGAATTAAATACGTTTTACAAACTACCCAAAATATGGCAACAGATGCAGTGACATGCAAAGCAAGGTTCAAGGCCTGCAAACGTTGATAAAAAATATTATTGATAATAAATAAAATTGTAGGTATGGGGGAAAGCAAATATTGGGAATCTAAAGAGGATTTTGAAATGAAAAATTGGTGCAATTTTTCAATTTTAAAATTCGAGCGTTCCAAAAATCTATATAAATATCTTAATTATTTGCTCACTTTGAAGCATCCAAAAAATATGGAAAAAATCTCCAAAATTCACGATATAAGGCCTCTAAAGATTATTCCTTTGAGGAATCAGAAAAATATGGAAATAATTTCCCCAAAAATACAAAAATTCACGATTTAAGGCCTCTAAAGATTATTCCTTTGAGGCCTCCTAATAATGTCTAGAAATTTGTCCTCTTTTAGGTCTTTTTAAAATATTGAATAATCCAGGCAATTAGTCCTCTTTTAAGGCTTTAAAAATATGGCAGAAAATTCTCGGTTTTTATTGTCTATCTTTACAAAATCAACGTCTTATCTTTTAAAAATCCACGAAGACTGTCCTCTTTGGGGCATCCTAAAATCTATATAAAATCCACGATGACTGTCTTTCCAAAAATCTATAAAAACCCAATTATTTGCTCACATTGAGGAATCCGAAAAATATGGAAATAATCTCCCCAAAAATATAAAAATTCTCGATTTTAGGCGTCTAAAGATTATACCTTTGAGGCCTCCTAAAAATGTTTCCTCTTTTAGGTCTCTATAAAATATTGAATAATCCATAGAATTAGTCCTCTTTTAAGGCTTTGAAAATATGGCAGAAAATCCTTGGTATTTCTTGTCTATCTTTACAAAATCAACGTTTATCTTTGAAAAATCCACGAAGACTGACCTCTTTGCGGTATCTTAAAATCGTTATAAAATCCGCGATGACTGTCTATCCACAAATCTATAAAAAAAACCCAATTATTTGCTCACATTGAGGAATCCGAAAAATATGGAAATAATCTCCCCAAAAATATAAAAAATTCTCGATTTTAGGTCTCTAAAGAAGATTGTTCCTTTTAGGCCTACTAATAATGTCTAGAAATTTGTCCTCTTTTTTGTCTTTTTAAAATATTGAATAATCCAGAGAATTAGTCCTCTTTTAAGGCTTTGAAAATATGGCAGAAAATCCTCGGTATTTCTTGTCTATCATTACAAAATCAACGTTTATCTTTGAAAAATCCACGAAGACTGACCTCTTTGGGGCATCTTAAAATGTTTATAAAAGCCACGATTATTGTCCTTGATATTGTCTTCTTTAGGGCATTTAAAAAAATGAAAGACTGTCCTCTTTGGCGCTCTCTAAAAATGTTGGAAAATCTTCGATTTGTCCTATTTAAGTCCTCGTAAAATTAAAAAAAAACTTCTTAAGTGTTTAAACATTTTCGATATTTGTATTATTTGGGGCCTCTAAAAAATCCTCGTTAATTGTCCTCTTGGACCTCCTAAACATGTGAAAATCCTCTATATTTTTGTCCTCATAAAAAATCTTTACAAAATCCACAAAAATGTTCTT